TCTGATGGACATGACTATTAACAATGAAAAAAAAAATGTATTAATATTATTACTAAATAGAAATATTACTATTGTAATATTTCACTGTAAAAAAAAAAAGAGTATTAAAAAGAATAATAATCATTTAACTATAAAATTACAAAAGTGATATTTCTGGTTGTATTAATTTCTTCATTTTAAAACTTTCAAGCTTTTTATTTTTGGAAAGAAAACCACAGCCTTTAAAGCTTCTCTTTTTTGACAGCCGGTTTATAAGCGCTTCTCATTAAAAGTTTAAGAAGATGGTTGATGCATGTTGTGTTTCCAGATGCACGCTTAAGCGACCCAAAGTTGGAAGCGACTCAAACTCAAAGCAGATTTAGAGATTAGTTTGTGTGGAGCAGCATTTAATGCAAATCGAGATGCTCATCTAAATGAACACAGTGCCACGCTTCACTCTGAAACACGCAACACATATTAATTCAATCGCACCAAGCCATATCACGATTTCGATTTTTTTTTTATCAATCGTGCAGTCCTACAACGGGACTCAACTTTCTTCAATATATATTGTTTGTGTCATACAGGTTTGGACAGACATGGGGAAGAGTAAAAGATGACAGAATTTTTGGGGTAGACAATCCTTTTAAAGTCGGTTTGAAACTGAAGTTTTCATCCCTAATGTGACGTATATCCAAGTGAAACGTCTTCTTGAACAAGAAAAAATGTAGGACGGGATGTGATTTTGTCCATAGGGAATTAATTGGAACGTTGTGGTCTCATGCATGTGACAGGTTGTCCCATTTCATGGTGACTTTAAATGAAACCTAACCATTAAGTCTTTCTCTAAGCAGAAAATATTTCCTCTGGGTGGTCTGCATGTGTATGTGAGAGCAAAAGTATATTGTATGTAAACGTGTGTGAATGTTATTTGAGCAACATACAGATAATTTGTCAGCACTTCAACATAAGCATGTGAGCTCATGTCAGGTATGTCGCATGTGAGCTTTCATAACACAGCGGACTATTTATACTCTGGCATGTGTCTGCAGTCTATTATAACACCCAGCACAGCAAAGCCATGAATAAGAGCGAGACAGTGCGTTGTCCAACACTTCAAAACAAATTCAAGGGCTGTAAAACAGACCTGATGTCATTTCTAATCAGACATCTATTATGTTAACGCGAGATGTCTCATCTCAGTTTGGCGCACTTAACCCATCAGTACTAGTCATTGTGGCTTCATTATGAAAATAATAAGTGCTACAACCATTCAGACATGCTATCAGTTGCTGACTGGATGGCAATGACACTCAAAAAGTGGTTTTGAGTAGAGAGCATTTGAATATGAGGGGATTTATTACTCATTGAATGAATTTGATATTTACAATCAATCATTACAAGCTGTGTATAGTATGACTTTATTTATGTGTGTGAAATTTGTGTGAAGGTCTTAAGAAAGTATCTCATTTAAGTCAAACAAGAAGACTGCAGTATTATGAGTCAAATCTTTAAGCTGTGTTGATGAATGGCACACAGCGTATAGTGCTGAAGACAGTTTGTTCTCCCGCTGAGTGCATCCAACCTCATGTGGCTCTGAAGATGATTGTGCTCTGTTTTTACTTCCTGCTTGGTTGTGAGATCAGTGATGTTGCTAGAAGTCACTGGTATACATTGCACAATATTTTTTTTATTTTATTTTTGGCTTGGTTTGTAGTTTAGAAATACCTCAATGTCTAGCTCTGAGACATTTTCTAAAGAAGGTGCGCCGATTAGACCTTACTATTAAACATTTTTTAGCATAACTGGACAAATTAAGAGTAGGTATATCAAGTTATATATTACATTTTCTATAAATTATTGAAAAACCTCTGATGCAAGGCAGGTTTTCCCAACTGAGTCTTATTTACTCCCAGAAAAGTTTTTTTTCCCCAAATCTACTTTAACACATCAAGGGAGTTTTACCCCATTGACAATTATTTATTTATTTATTTATTGCATAAATCTCACAATATTTTGTGATGTTTATCCTCACAAAAAAACTATTTGCCAATGGGGCAAGAAATATAAATCTACTACAACATGTATTCCTGTAAACAAGTCCAAGTTTACATCTGGTTTTAAGATGGGTTATCGGCGCCGATCACAAGTGGTCAGTCGAGACACGTTCGAAAGGGATAATGAGTTTCTCATTTTCCTAATCAGTTTCAGGACGGTTGAGCCTATAAGCCGACTTTTCACCATCTCTGACAAACAACAGACAGGAAGTTATTCATTTCCAATGAAGAATGAGCTGTATGGAGTTCTGACCTTATGTGAATGCTGAATTTTCATATCCAATGTGAGCTTGGTACCTTGAAATATTTGAACTGATAGACTGTAGATTTGAGCGGATAGACTGTATGCAACTGTACAACCGGATGTGATTTATTCCAATCAAAGCGACTTTAATCTTTATGGACTTTTTCTGTAAATTTGACACGTGAATCTTTTTGACCTAAATAATTATTTTATAATTATTTTGTTTAATTATCCATATTAAACGTACTATGTTTTTCTTTCAGATGTATTGTGTGTGTATACATTTCATTATTCATTAATTTTTGCCATGGTGAATGAGCGAAAGCAGTAACGTCTACTTTTCGGCCAAGTTCATACCTCCGTGTAAACGCGGTCTTATTATCTTACACGATAGTGCTTCGCAAGTAAATTTATCTTGTTATAGCCTGTTACCTCTCAGTGGCCTAGTAGTGAGACACTTGCAATGCTTTTTATTGCCTTTTTTGCCTATCACATATTTTACTAATCATCGTTAATTAGGTATCATTTAAAAGCTTAAACACTCAATTCATCCTGGGAGACCGTTTTGAAATTGGATATTGTATTACTATGGAAATGGTCTTCTCAATTCTTTAGGCAGGCTCAAATTTGGTGATATAACTTCAAATCTCTCAGTTGTCCAAATGTATTGAATTAAACATTTTTTTTCACACAATATTGTGGAATAATTTTTTAGTTCAGTAGGCCTACATTTGCTTTACAGTAAACAAACTTCTACAACTTGTTCACACTTTCAGTTTTTTAAGTGCTTTTACTTATAATAAGTCCAGTGTCTTATTTAAAAAGAGACCAGCCTTAGGTATTCCAAAGCGTTCATGAATTACAACTTTAAGTTCAGATCCAGTATGGTCAAAAAAGGGACAGCTAAGGATATTTTTAGTGTAAAATGAGACAACAATAGAGATTTAGACCTGGTTTCACTTAGATTTAGCCAGTATTAGGCTACATTTAGGTAGCTTTCATAAACGTTAAAAAAAATAAAAACCTTTGGTGTGAATCTTGTGACAAAACAATGGCAGTGACATATTTTAAGATATGTCAGTGCAAGTTGCTTTCAGTAAAAACAGCTCAAACATGTATTTTAGTCTGGGACTAGGATTAAGCCTTGTCTGTGAAACCGGGGATATAATCATAAATGTTCCTTGCAGTTTGTGAATTGGGAATTACAGAGAAATATGTTATACTGTACAAAAATTGATGTGTTAGCTTCCATTCCCTTGTTAGAAACACCAGCAAAAAGGTCTTATATCACATCTCAACTGGTGTGAAAGACACGGTAATGGAAGAGGGAAGTTTGGAAAAAATGTGAAATGAGTTTTAGTGAGAAAGCGAGAGAGAGAGAGATGTTGGGGTGCTTAAGGGAACTTCTCTGGTACCTTAGAAAGCTGACTCCTTCACTAACACGGAAGGACTAGCACGTCTCACTCACCGCAGTAAAGGCAGAGAGTAGGAGGAATATAACAAGTACACCAGAAAGTTATAAATGTTGTACAAAACAGAATATGAGGGATTGAAATGTACAGAGATGATCTAACAAAGAGACAGAAGAGAGAATGAGAAAGAGAAACGAGGCTTTTAAAGCAGGGGTTATACTTTTGTATGGTGTCTTTCTCTGCCAATATATCTAATTAAGAAAAAGGAATCTCTAATTGTTGAGTAGAAGTTTTTATTTAGTTTTAGTGTGTTACAATGAGTCAGTGCTGGAAATTGTTATTATTTTACTAAGTGCTCATTGTAGTTGTTAATAACTAAGTGGCGGCGTCAATGTTCTCTCCAGCACACAGTTCTCAGACACACGCTCTAATCTATCAAAAGAGCGGTTTAAATTACATCGACATATTTCTAATTTCAATTTACTTTTCAGTTTGAACTTGGAAATGAGCAAACACTCCACAGTACCTGAAATCTGAATCAGTACATCACATGCACTATTTATCAAAACAGTTCTCTGTTTAGCAGAGTTATTTGTGTATAATCGTATTTCGTGAGCTAAGCGGATTTGTGACATCATAACAGGCACATCTGTGCATCCCCCCCTCCCCACCACAACTGTCCTCACCGCATTTTAAAACAAAGTGACGCCCATGATAACTCTTTGCAGAATGATCTCGGCTTCTAATGGACTCGCTTGGACTTGAACCCTACCGGAAGACAGCTTTGTGCACCATTTTCACAGCACATTATATCAGACTTCAGCACATTCATTAATGTCAATCTGAATACAAGCTAACTTTTTGAGAGTATACCCCAGCACCGTACGGAGGAGTAACAGTCATTAGCGTATGCTCTTGTAAAGTCATTGTTTTTACCCTTGGGCAAGATTTCCAATTATGTTTGCTTTAATAGTCTTGCACTTTTTCCTTTACTCTCTCTTAGGACCATGACTTTCCTGTGTTTAATGTTTTCTTTAATGAAGCTCCTCTCTGTTGTTATATAAGTAAACACTTAGGGGGAAAGCAGCACTGATTTTTGATTACTCCAAATTAGAGAGTCATAAAGGTAATATTTCCAGCAATATCCGGGAACGTTGGTGAAATTCGATCTGGAAAAGAAATTCTCTGAGTCTGCACCTACAGCCATAAATCTCTGAAGCACATATTAAACCTAAATATTTTCCAATATCTGCAAAAGGCAGCATGGGCGATAAGTATGTGTTGATTAGTTAAAAGTGAGATGCTTACATCTTTTTGAAGTCCAGGAGAGTGTACTCAGGCCAGTCGATGTAGCAGACCACCCTGCCCGGCAGCTGGTCCGTGTCAGAGTAGTAATACTGGGGGAAGGCCAGCAGAAAAGCCAGAACCCAGATGACCCCGATGACCACCTTGGTCTGTGTTGCAGACATCCTCTGCTTCAGGGGATGAATGATGGCCATATATCTGTGGAAGAACAAGACAGATGTGCTGAAAGCACCACATCTGTTGTATACTGAGGTATTATTTTTTTAACAATCTTTTTTTTTTTTTACATTAAGCTTATTTCCAGTTGAAATTAAAGTGAACTATTATTTAATTCATACAAATTAACCAAAGAACCAAAAAAATACTAATTATGTTTTTTTTTTTTTTTTTTTTTTTTACAAATGAATGCCCATACTTTAGTGGTTCAGTAAATATTGTGTGTTCTAAATGTTCCTTACACTCTTAAAAAAGGTTCAATTGGGATCTATATGGAACCCTAGGGTTCTTGACTCAATTTTAAAGAACGCTTTTTGCTTAAAAGGTTTTATATAAGGAGGAATGTCTTAAATGATTGCATAATACTTTCATATTTAATGGGTCATTTAAAATTTTTCTAGTGATAAAGTTTAATTCATAACATTTAATTAAAACTAAAACTGATTTGAAAAAAATATATACATATAAATTAAAACTAAATTCATAAAAGAACCGTTTAAGGTTCCCTATAGAATCTTTCTTCTAAGAGTATAGAAAACCTTGTGTGTAAATGAAGACAAACCTGTCTGCTTGTGGATTTGGCTCTCAGCACACATTCACTCTTATTTACAACCACAGTTATTTTCCCACTGTTATCTTCATTCATACGTTGCAGCTCGAGCTGTGCTTGAAAGCAAGAGATGCTGCTCTGCACTCTAAACAATTTAAGCAGTCAACACATCAGTGACTTCATCACGTACACACACATGTCTCCGTCCAGCAGATCCTCAGTGGAATCTAAGATAAATCCTCTTAAATCATTTGCTCCAATATGGAGCTGTATCATTATAAAATGGAATGAAGCCCAGGCAGTAAATCCCCCACACACACCATACAAATATATTGAGTACCTACAATAGTGGATTTGTGCAGTTATTAGTTTTGGGTTTGTGCTATAGTAGGCTACAACAAGCAAATGTATCATTGTTATAAAATGAGCTCTGCAATAATAAATAGGATATGTTCCAGTTATCAGTTATATGGGCAGTGAATATACTCTTGAGGCAATAATTATTTCACTTTATTTAGCTGAGAGAAACCATGCAGCACTCCATGTACCACTTTCAGACTGTGAGATGGTATGAAGGTCAGGCTTTGTCACACATTTCTTTGTTTCCCTTAGAATCTGTGTCTGGTGTGCATTTTTCTTGTGGTTTTAGCCACACCTACAATGCCTTGAAAAATATAAAGACTCCCATTCTGAATTCCAACATTACAAAATGTGTGGTCTCTACTACACGCTCAGAAGAAAAGACACATACGTTATCAATAGAAAAAAATAACTGTTAAACATAATTATTTAATACATTTATCCTTATATAGAACCTTATTGCAAATTGAGTCAAGAACCCTATAGTTCTATATAGAATCCCATTGAATATTTTTTGTGTTCAAGAGTGATAGGGTTGAGAACAGAGAAGCGATTCTTATTCGAATGATTAAGATGTTAATATCCCACTTATGTTGTTATATATAGTAAATTGTAGAAACCAATCTTCACATTATTTTCAAAGGTGCATCACATTAGAGGCTGATTTAGCTTTTAAAACAGCAAATTTTGCAGAAAAGTATAAGCTGTTTGCATCACTGATTATTGAAATGATCTCAGCATTTGGCAACAAAATTGCATTTCTGTTTTAAAATTTTCTAAATTTTTCTAAATTTTCAAAGAATTGTTAATAAAACCTATTGGTCAAACTTCAGGCATGGCAGTAATGGTGTCTTTTGTGATGTTCTATGTGAGCCAATGTTAAACAGAGCTCTTGATATGGTTGACCGGTTCAATTTTAATCCCTTTATTGGAAAATTGACCATCTCCTTCAAAGTGACAACTGGCCTCTCAGTGACTTCATTAATAAGTCTCTCTCTGGTTTGTGCAGAGAGTTTTGAGGAACAAACTTTTCTGACCAATAAAATTTTTATTTCCTTCTCCTTATTTTTTTTTTTTTAATTAGTCTACCCTAGTCTTAATATTTGCAGCTGTCTTTTAGATTCACAACCTGAATAATGATCAATTTATTTTAATAAGTTATAGGTTCAGGCCAATTGTTAGGCAGCTGCATCAGACAATTGTTTTTCTTCTGTGCAAATTCTGAGTCCCTGCATGGATTGTTATGCACACAGAATATTTTTGTTGTTGTTAAGAATACCAATGTCACATTGAAATCTGTCATCTTTTACTCACCCTTATGTTGTTCTAAAACCATATGACTTACTTTCTTCTGTGGAACACAAATAAGTGAATATGAATGCAAATCTTTCACTTCTATTAAGAACATGCAGGATATTGCCTGCTCTATAATAAAAGTTAAAGGAGAAAGATTAGTTAAAGTTCCAAAATGACAAAAAAGCACCACATAAGCATCGTGAAAAAATTGTGAAGAACAGACTAAAATCTGTTGTTATTCACTGGAATTCTTCTGCTGCAGCACTCAAATCAATTTTGACACCACTGACAGCAATCATATTTGGTTTTGACACATGCAAAAGCCCATGGTATCTGGCAATTAATAGTTTTAATGTGTCATTTTTGCGGTCTATGTGACTTTTGACATGCATTTTTAGAGCTTTGGGGGGAACAATTACCAGAACCAGATCATCTTTTATTAGGCTTTTATGGCGCAGTTTTGTCATTTTGGAGTTTGACAGATCCAGTCCCTTCATTTTCATTACAGAAAAGAGTGAGCAGGATATTCTTAAAAATACCTCTTTATTTATTTTTTTCATACAGGTTTAGAAAAATATGGGTGAGTAAATGATTATAACATGTTCATTTCCGGGTGAACTATTGCTATTTGAAATCTAGTTCCATAAAGCATAAAAATAAAACATCAAAGAAATAAACATACATTTTAAATTCATAATTTAGTCAAATGAGAGAACTTCCACTCCACTGATAATGGGAAAACCTTACAGCTGAACCACCACCAGGCGCACACACTTAAACTTACACGTGATAGACAATCCCACAAATGTTAAGTAATGCCCTGTAGGATGGGATACAGTGCCAGAAAAGATGAGTGAGTAAATGAGGAACTGACAATGAACTCATGGCACACTCTCCAGCAGGTGAAGAGGTCAGACACAGCACCCATACATTCAAGCACATCTGTTTGACATAAGTGGAGCTCAGGGAAACAGATCATCGGTCTGAACAGCGGCACGGCTAAATCAATAACGACAACATGCTAGAGAGAGCGGAGATGGACAGTGTGCTTACACAATTTGATGCTTGCAGTGCTTTTCCTTCAAATTTAGCTTTAGTCCTGTAATTTTATTAGGAATCCTATTCCATGCCACACATGACAATTTGAGCCTCTGAGCCATGTGCCGTCTCACCAGCACGCAAATGCTCTTTAGCATGCCGTCACAGCGTGACTTTGAGGTGTGTGCGCTTGTCAGCACTTTTAGGTCTACATGTGTTTAAATGCAAGAAATGAAAAGTAAAAACAGTTGATATGTGAGATGTTATATTTGGACAAAGAGGCGATGGTTTGTTGCTACTAAAGCATGTAACACAATTATGTCACACACTGCAGTTTAGCCCAAGTGATCTGTCTGCACAGAGGTGACAGCCCTGCTGCTGTTTGTGAATGTACACCCGTCTGCATGTGTTAACAAAGCAACAATGACTCAACCAGAGCAACAGAGCTGAAATCTGGCCAAGAAAAACACATCAGACAAAGTGCCTAGGAGAATTTGTATCGCAATAATTATTCATAACTGCTGTTTTACAGTAATGCAAAATAAGAAGTAAAATCCATGTAAATAAATGTTAAAAATATAAATATAATTTATATATATATGCACTTACCGACCACTTATTAGACCTGTTCAACTGCTTGTTAACGCAAATATCTAATCTGTCAATCACATGGCAGCAACTCAATGCATTTAGACATGGGGTGCGTCTCAGCAGCTCTAGCTTCCGGGTCGTGAATCAGTATATTGTTTGCACGAATTTGGGCACTGCACTGGACAGTAAGGACCCTGGCTCACTACACATTGGGACACAGATCGGTGTATTTCTGAACAACATCAGAATATCTTTCTGACATTATCCTAAATTGTTATTTAAATTACATTATGATACATACATTGCTTGCATGTTCGTATACATGCAACGTTTCAGCTGTAAATAATAAAACCTGTAAATAAAATAACCTGTCTAGTGATGTATGTTTATGCTGAAATATAATTAAAAAATGGTTTGTTTGTTAAAAAACATCTATCGCGTGTCATTATATAGTGAGTTGGCTCTGATTTATGTTTTGCGCGTCAGAACTTCCATTAAGGGAACATGGTGAGCATTGATGATCCCTGTTTTTCACGGTGCACTGTGAGACTTTTTAGGGAGCAAACTTTTCAGTGCATTAGTAGGATTTTACAATTCGCCTTTGGCTAAGCCCCGCCCCCCTTAGTTACTGTTGCTACGTCCGACAAACAAACTTCATATGGGCTCTGGTATCAACATGGCTTATGCTGTGACGGCTCTTCCTGCTGAAAATGTATCAAACTTTTATAAAGCAGCAAATAAAGTGTCCGATAGAAGTAGGCAAAAGGGGCTGCAATATACGTTCGAAGGCTATATTAACGACAAACAGGTGAAACGCAAGGAACAACAAGGCATCCAAATAGAGGCAAAAGCATACCGGTCACAGTCAAAAAATGAACCACCGCATATCCTACTAATCGAGACGGAGGCTGGGACTAACAATATCAAGGAGCAACACTGTTCATGCAAAGCTGGGTAGGTCTCTATTCACTTCTATAATCGTTATTACAAAACAACGGACTACGCGAGTATAACGTTGTATTTATTAGCACCGTGTGCTAGCTAGACGACACTTGTCAGGATTTGACTTCCTGAAAAAATGGACACCCCCCTCCAACCTCTCTGGGAAACGCGTATCTGTGTTACAAATGCCCCAGGCACAACGTTTAACCATATTTTTGATAAAACTACGACGGCAATAGCCTGCCGAGACCAAAAATATGAGACGCCTGTGTTAAAGTCAATGGAGCGCTGTGAAAAAGTGTCGGACCACTGTGGGAGCTCGTTCTTGGCTGCGTTGTGATTGGTCAAACTACATTCTAGGGTGTGGCTTAGCCAAAGGCGAATTGAGATAGCCTTTAAAATGGCCAACTCCCAGATCAGTGCCCCAACTACTGAAGAGCTGATTGAGACGCAACATGATCCGCTGAAGTTCAAACTGAGCATCAGAATGGGGAAGAAAGGTGATTTAAGTGACTATGAAAGTGGCATGGTTGTTGGTGCCAGATGGGCTGGTCTGAGTATTTAAGAAACTGCTGATATATGGGATTTTCACGCACAACCATCGCTAAGGTTTACAGAGAATGGTCAGAAAAAGAGAAAATATCAGGATATTTTCTCTTTTTCTGACCATTCTCTGTAAACCTTAGCGATGGTTGTGCGTGAAAATCCCAGTATATCAGCAGTTCTGTTGGCGAAAACGCCCTTGTTGATGCCAGAGGTCAGAGGAGAATGGCCAGAATGGTTCGAGATGATAGAAAGGCAACATAAACTCAAATAAGAACAAGAAACTGAGGCTACAATTCACACAGGCTCGCCAAAATTGGACAGTATAGAAGATTGGAAAAACGTTGCCTGCTCTGATCAGTCTCAATTTCTGCGATCATGTCAATAAGGACCAAAATCAGCGAGGAATGTTTCCAGCACCTTATTGAATCTATGCCATGAAGAATTAAGGCAATTCTGAAGTCAAAAGGAATTCAAACCCAGCAAGGTGTACATAACAAAGTGGCCTGTGAGTATGTACTTACTAAAACGTATATAACGGCTTTGTTTTTGTGCCTTTCGTCTGGACTTTCTTAAAGTCGTAATGAAAGTAGACAGATCTTTTCTCTGTATTGTGACGTACATCCGAGTGAAACTGAATATTAAAAATAAAAAATGTAGGGCAGGGACATCTGGGGTTGTGCCTGGTTGTTGATTGGATGGAGGCAGATCTGATTATGAACTTGTAGTCAATTGTAAGAAAGGGGTGGAGTTTAAGCAGACTAAAGGGTTAAAGAACAATCTGTCATTTTTACCGTAGATTTTGATTAAAAATTTGATAAAAAAATACAAGGTAAAAAAAAGAAAAGAAATGCATGAATGAATTGTTAGATGATGCTCAATAAAATGCATTTAGAAAAAATGGATAGGGCGAATTTTAATTTCATACCGACTTAACGGTTTCATCTAATATAAAATAATTTGAGGTTTGTCAGGAGCATTAAATTTTTTTAATTAAATTTTACTACTACGTTACATCTGTAGGCATAATTCAATTTTCCATCCTCATATTGCCCATTAGTTGATAATAATCACATCACTGCATGACAGAAATCACTTAAAACTGGCTGAAGATAAAACATGCTCGAATTCTACAGAATTATACTATTCCTAGAACCACTTGGAGTGCTTAATGAAAAGCAACTCTGTAAATATCTTCTTTATAGGAAAAATCAAGGCACTGCTCTCAGTTATTTGTTAGTAAACCTATGATTAATTTGCTGTCTATGCTTCAAAATATTCAGAGAATGTAATCTTGGCTTGCTTTTTTTTTTCAAAAGAATCTTTCTAAGATAAATAACCCATTAGTGCTCTGACAAGTATTTCCTCTAGAAGGACCTAAACACACATAGTGAAGTCTTCGCAAGAAGCCTGCCCTCCATCTCCACTACAGGTCTCTCAGGTAATAGAATTTTAAAGAAGTTCATGTTTCTGCATGTAGATAAATGTAAGCAGGCATGCTTTTTGAATATTAGCTGTGCTGTGTCAAAAGGTTGGAAACATGACATCTTACAATTAGAACGGGGTTATGAAACTTCAGACATTAACTGAAATCTGGAACTTCTTTTGAATAATTCCTTATGCTGCTAGACATGGCAACTGATGAATGAAGAAACAAAGCAGACACAATCACCTCTCAACAACACAAAAGCCAAAGAAATTAGGGTTTCTAAATGATGACTATTATGAGTGGGATGACAAATAACCATCATCTATCACATGACATCACAGACAAATGACCTCTGCCATCTATGCTGTGATCATTTCTAATAGATATGAAAAGAGCAATTTTACACTTGTGTTCGCATTGTGAAGGCAGAACTAAACATTGCTAAATGTTATAACATTAGCAACTATACATATCCATTGTAACCATAGTTGCTGGCAAAAGCAGGGTACACTCTTAAAAAAAAGGTCCAATGGGGTTTATTATAGGATCCCTACACTCAATTTAAAAGAGCCATTTATCCCAAATGGTTTTATATGGAGAAATGTCTTAAATAATTTGCATATTACTTTTCATTTTTAACATGTTATTCCATTTTTACTGATAAAGTACTGTGGGCTATGTTTGCGAGCTGTTTAATTACAATTTAATTCAAATTAAATATTAATACAAATTTAATTAATTCATTAAAACTAAATCTATAAATTGATACCATGAAGTTGAACGCTTGACAAAATGTATTTAATATACCGTCCTTTATATTTTGTACATTTTGTACAGCGACAGAACAGGCACAAGCACAGCCAGTCAGCGAGAAACCCAATGTCGCGTGTCATTGTGTGAATGGGAATGAAGGAACTTACCTGTCGAGCGCAATCGCGCTCATTGAATATATGGAAGCGAAGACGGCGGCTATAGGAAAGAAGTTGTGGAATCGGCAGTAATAGAGTCCGAAATACCACTCGTTGTGCACGGAGTAAACAAAGTTTATAACGGTGTTGAATGCCGACATTGACGCTTCAGCGAACGCCAAGTTCACAAGGAAATAGTTCGTCACGGTTCTCATTCGTTTGTGCGCCAAAATGATCCATATTACCGTAATATTGCCCACCACGGAGACAATGACAATTGTGCTGTAAGCTACTGCCCAGAGCACTATCCTCCAAGCAGGTTGCACAAACTGGTTCCAGTATATCTCGGTTTCATTTTGTGCTATCGAGTTGTTTGTCCAGTTACTTTGGAAGTCATTGGAAGTGATGAGCGAATCCATTCCTATCGGGAAAATGTTAAGTGCGATTTAAATATTGTATCTTTTCTTTTATGCTGGATGTCGTAGGCTATTAATGTTCAATCGACCATGTTCCCTTTCGAGAAAAAAAAAGGTCAAATTGTTGAGTTTATTGCGCAAAAGGTGTTCCGAACAGTATTCTTCAATTGTCTTCTCTGATAAGGGGAGATGATCCCTGTGCTCCTTCAAACAAGACAGGAGAACAGATAGCAACGGCTTGTTCCTTCACTTTTCCTCATCACGAAACCAATTTTAGCTCTTGGTTACACACACCTCACTCCTCTGAGCGTCACTGCCAAGTGCGCAGCGCGTGCCAAAAGAGAAGTCGCGCGCACACATGAGCAGATGCTGCGAACACGCGGCTCTGAGAGGAAACGAAGGGACGAACCCTTTCAAATGCAATTCTCTCTTTTTAATACGGAATTTATTATATTCTGCATATGTAATTCAGAGCGCGCCAGGTGTGCCGCGGCGCGCAGATTGAAAGATGATTTTTTTTTTTTTGGTCGCGCGCAGATGCTGTGTGCACGAGGTAATATGCAATCGCACGAGTGCAATCTTTTTAATATGAAATGCGATTCATTCAGACCTTGTATGCAAGTTGAACGATGTTGTTTGGTTCTTTCAGATTGGACAGAAAAAAAAAAAAAAAATAATGGATAAAGCCAAATAGACTAATACGTTCAAACTTTTGACATTGATAACGGTGTAAATTACCATGGGAACGTCTTTTACCAGTTCCTTTCGACATCAAGCCAATGATTTACCTACACCAATACCAAGTCATTTCTATATGGTAATTCAAAAGTTCACGGTCTCCCCCTGGTGGTTCCATCTGAATGCGCGTTAAACTTAAGCTCAATCAGCCAGTCTGTTAAGACCATGTACATGACGGACAATGATGTTGAGTAAACACAACTTTTAATATTTTTCATTTGGATCTGGACAGAATCAGTTGGAACACTAACTGCAAGCCAAGGTTGCTCTGAATGGCCACAAATCCCTACATCCATGTTCCAACATTCAGTGGAAAGCCTTCCAAGAAGCCTGTAAGCTGTTATGTTTGCAAAGGAAGGGATTAATGATTTTTTGCCATGTTCTAAACAAGATATGGGAGCATCAGTGTGATGTGTGATATGCAGCCTGACATGCTGTTCCACTTCATCCTAAAGGTGTTCGCTGAGTGTTTGTGGAGGCCTTTTTCTTCCACATCAGACACAGTAAATCATTTCTGAATGGATGCGCTTTGCAGAGGGTGTTTTCATTCTTTTGGCCATAATTTCACTGCCATCATGCACCATATGAACCACCACATGCATTATTCAAGAATGTGTCCATATAACAAAGGGATGTTTTGATACTAGATGACTCAGAGTAAGCCTAGGGAACTGCCATTTAAAGAGCAAATTTTCAGCATTTTAGTGAATCATTCAATTTCTTTATTTCTTTATTTTTGGATTTTAATTTATAAAGAAGGTTGATTGAGATTTGTGATAATCTGAGTGATTTTGCTGACAGGTTTCGTTAGCCTTGTTTCTTTCTGCTTTAGAAGTGATTGGTTTCTGTAGCTCTCTGTAATGATTTGAAATAAAACCCTTTATAGATCATCTCACACCAAGGAAAAGATTTATGGTGCTATCTTCTTTTCACGGTTAGAGTTAGTTTGATTTCTTCTTGTATAAAAAAACAATCCATAACTCAATGCAAGTACTCCACAGGCATGCAAATTTCATTGTTGTAGCCATCAATTCAATGGGTTTAGGGGGGTTGGAAAGTCCATCACATGCATTAGCTGAATTTCAGATTCCTTCAAGAACCTCTATGGGACTTAGGGACGCATATAATTAGGATGTGCCGTGGCAACTCATCAATGTTAATTAACCATGTATCATGACAGCATCTGGGTTGCTGACAATTCCACCCACACATATGGGTATAGTTTTTATTTCCTTCTTAGCTCTTTTTGTACTGTTTTTGTTTTGTTGACTGTATAAGATATTTTCTGTTATTAAACCAGTCAAGATTATCTGAAGGAAACGGGTTCACTCAAAAGATTCAATGCATGCAGAAAATAGCCTATATCTTGGCAATCCTTTTAATGCTCTCATCTTTTTTTCAGTCCTGTGCACTCACTGCCTTCTTTTTGATTATAGCAACATGTAATATCCGCTGGCAAGGAGATCTGCTCAACAAATCAAGATTTGGCTGACCACTGGTTGTCCACAAGAAAGAAATCAGAAATATAATTTCACACACCAACTGTCATCCATGGGTTGAATTTAACATGAGGGGGGAAAAGAGTATCTAAAAGAGAGGGGCCACAAACTGCTTAATGCTGCCCCAACACCATTCGTTTAAAAAAATATATCTTGACTCTTCTGTGCCTCTTGATAAATCTGGGCATGCGTTTAACTGAATTCAAGGCTTTGAATAAAAATGAATAAGTGATTTGGTTTGTATTGTCCATATTGTATTGTCCAGTGTTAACTGAATCTAATGTGGAATGGCAGAAGCAGAATAAATGCAAATAATATTTGTCAATATGTTCCATTAAATTATTAAAATGTTTATTTTGCAAATCTGTGCCATATTGCACCTGGCTGTTCACCTTTCACATAGGTGTTTACTATAGTCCATGAACACCGCATAGGAGTTGGGCACGTCACGTGACCTGTCAGTGGCTGGCTGGCTTTGCCAGTCGTGATCACGGCCATTTGACTGGTTTAATTTGCTTTAATTTGGGATAACCGTCCCAAAAACATCATTCATACAAAATAATAGATGCATGAGATTATATTCATAATAAGAAAACAATGTATTTCCTTACAGCGAGAGTGTCATACAACGCGTTATAGGCCTACTCCCAGTTCAGCCGCGGCTGACTGGATTGAGCGTCCAGCAAAGCATCAGTAAACTCCCAGTCTGATCGATCACGGCCATTTGACTGCTTTAATTTGGATAAAATTCTCTAAAACGCCAATCATGCAAAATAACATAATCATATGCAAAATAAATGCACAAGAGAGGGAGGAACACAAAAACTGCCAAAATCAATGGTTTCTGAATCTGAAACTTGCCAAAGGCAGACTGCCTGACAACTGTATAACGTATACAGCTACTGACAGGTCACGTGACATGCCAGTGGAGGCTGTCAGCCAGCTGAACATTGAATCCCTACTAGTACACTTTTAAGAGTGAAGTTATTGAATTCATTCAGGCATGGGTCAATATAAATGTCAATGATATGGCAGAGACTGTGATGCTCTATGTATTTAATCATTTTATATAGATCCATAGCGAAAAGCTGGAGGGTTTAGGACTATACTCTGAAGAAAAAGACTTTTGAAAAACGAAATTACAGCCACAAGCTACCTGAGAGATAGCCTAATCAATGTCTGTGATCATGCTGTGTGTGTACACCTCGATAAAAAAAGAAAGAAGGATTTTCCATGTAGGCTTTTGTCATAAGAAGTGAACAACAAGTAGCCTACTTCTGAGGATTAAAGCTATTGTGACACATCTTAAAGAGATACTTTCTTTGGCATGTTTAAGAAGCTAGTTCTTCAAGCTAGACAGCCTAAATCTTTTATAAAACAGATATTATCTGTCAACTGGCTGGCATGGGGTTGTAAAGTCAATGAATGTGTCAAGATATCTGAAGGGATTCTCATTTATACGGTTTCCATGGAAAGTATGTGATCCGTCTGTCTTTAAATCTGTGCTGGCCCTTTAAAAGGTTTGTTTAGGATGTTGTTTGGCGGGGCGGAAGTTATTGTTGGGATAAGAGAACACCTTACAGTTGCTGATGTGTTTTTCAAAACAGTTCAGAGGAATCGACAGCCAAGTTGAATACTTGACGGAAGTGCTTATTATGTATTCGTACGGGTCTTAAAAACGGTCTTCTAGTGTCTCTAAGAACAAAGGTTCATTGAGCCTTAGCGGCATCGGCTAACATCTGAATGCACGGAATCAGGATAGTGCTAACTGAACTCAATTAATGCTGTCACAGTCACCATGCCGTCTTACGAAGAATTGAGAAAAACCAATCACTTCTATTATTTCGTTAAGTTCTCTCTAAATGTCTATTCAATGCTATTCTCGGTAAGTGTGCGTTTAAACTGAAAGATGTTCTAGGCTACTATTGACGTTAGCATTTCTTTGTTTCTCCGTTTCTCCCTCACCTCACTATAACACACACTTGCCTTGAATGAGTACCCTCATGGGTTTGTGTTGAACGTACAGTAAAGGTAGTCGTACTAACTTTGCCCGTGTCTACGGATTAAATTTGGGATGCATATTAGCCTCACTTCTTTAAAATGTCTCAGTTGAGATTTGTGGCTTAGTAAAGGAAATAGACATGCGCCGCTGGCAGATTTAAAGGCGCAAGGCGCTGTTATTGTTGCTGCAAATGTAAAAAGATTCACGCGGTATAGATGTTTTTTTTTTTTAAATGGTTCCTGTAAATGATTGGCGGCTGTAATAATATTAATATAGGCTTGCACATAATCAATTTCTTTGCTTTCTTGTCCTATCGAGTCTAAGGCTATAATCGTTCTGGATAGAATATCCATAGATAAGATATATACATTTCTATTAGGGATGCAAAATTATTGCAAAAGTTGTTTATTGAGCATTTTTGTGACTAAAATATCAGATATTGACCGACATTGAATATTAAACGTATTCTGCCCCTTTTAAGGTAGAAATAATCATCTAGTTTTAACGTGATCTAGCAAACATAACAGAGTTTGTTCATTTAAAAAAAAAAAATATATATATATATATATATATATATTAAGTTATTAACTATAAAAAAAGGAAATGATACATCATTACATGAACAATATAGGGTCTTAAAGAGACAGCGCCCTATAAGAGAGAGTGCTGTTAAAGGGTTAAATGTCTGGGATCCCTTCTCTAATGAAGGTTTTCTTTTTCTATTTTAATAATTTTTTTGAAAGAGTTAATTTTAATATTTATCCATCCTTTATAATGTGCATTCATTGTAATGTTGTGATGCCTACATTTACTTTTATTTGAATGTTTTTATTATATTTAGATTTTTTTTAAAGTATTTTTAGCAGTTATAACAGGTCATAACAGGACAATAATTATTGGCTTATCATTATCGGAAAGAATTATACGTTTTGTGCATCCCTAAAATCTACATATTTCTTTGTTTTGATGTCTGGATTTAATATTTTAGGTTTCATGTCTGTAAGTTATGTGTTGCTTCTCAAGAATTGGCAATACTTTGCTTAATAACCAGCAACCATTAATATTTATTTATTGAATTCAACAAGGAACACAATATTCTTCTTGACTCACTAGCCAGAGTGTTATGTCTTCTCACAGGAAATGCAATAAGTCATTGCCTTATGGGAGTATCTTTACTATTAGCGAACATGATGATACAAGCAGAAAAGCCTCTCTGGATACTCTCCATTTCTTTCTCTCCCTTTCTTTACTCTTAAGCTTGGCTTGCAGCCTTTACACTTGCACATCACTAAAACACCATCATCTATCAATTAACAGAAAATAATTGAAGATGTCAGGAATCTGAAATTGACAGATGATTAATCAGCCAAACAAGACTTATTAAATTAACCCTCTAGAAAGAACAGTCAGGGAAGAAAATTGAAAATGAAGTGGTTCTGGCTAGCATGCTTTGTACTAATGTAGTCTTTTGTTAGGATACAAATTGATATTAAGGCTGCTACATCAATCTTCTTTATGATTTGCGTCATTCCATTGACATTGTGTGTGCATTTTAGCTAAGCACTCTGAGAATGACATCTGCATTTTAGGGATTAATGTGAGGAACACAAATGATACAGTACATTTTTGGATTTTACATCAGATGACTTATCTGCATGACTTGGTTGTGGATTGAAACATTGATTTCATATCTTTGTTACATGTCTAATCGAATCATGTAAACGTAATGTTGTGGAATTATGTAAGCTGATGTGACTTGTACAGATGTTTTCCCAAACCAACCACTGCCCCTGTTCCCCTCAGTTGCTCGGTCTGTGCGTGCTATGTATTGGAGTGTATGCAGAAGTGGAGAGACAGAAGAATCGCACCCTGGAGGGGGTGTTTTTGGCTCCTGCTGTGGTTCTCATACTGCTGGGTCTCGTCATGTTTACTGTGTCTTTGATTGGGATGGTGGGATCTCTCAGGGACAACAAGACTCTGCTGCACATGGTGAGTGTTGCTTGTCTGAACACATATCTATGTGTGCCAAGCTTCTACCATTTTACTGGTGTTATTTTTGGTTGTGACTTTAAAGGATAGTTCACCCCAAAATGAAAATTCTGTCATCATTACTCACTCTCATGTCTTTCCAAACCATAAGACTGTTGTTTGTCTTTGGATCACAAATGAAGACATTTTTAATGAAATCTAAGAGATTTCTGTCCCTCCATTGAAAGTATGTTCACCCAAAACTCTGATGCTTCAAAACGTTCATAAAGAGATGATAAATAAATCCATATAATCCAACTCTTCTGAAGAGACATGATTGCTTCATTGAAAAATATCTTCAATTGTGTTTCAAAGATGAACAGAAGTCTTAGAATGACTGATGACTTTTATTTTGGATTACCTAACCCTTTAAATAAACCTTTCCATGCAGTTCCTGTGTGTCCTGTGTGTTTTGCTGGCTCTCCAGGCTCTTGCCCTCATCATTGCCCTGATCTTTGAAAAGACGGTAAGACATTGAGAGCAGAGAGAATGTTACGGTTATACGGTACGGTTACTGTATACGGTTTGTTGTTAATTAGTCCAAATCTTCTCTGTCTTTAGACAATCAAATTATTTCAGAAAAGTATACGTGAGGGAATCAAGCACTACTATGATGACCTGGACTTCAAGAACATATTGGACTACGTGCAAGAGAAGGTTTTTTATTACTATAAGTGTATTATACACCCACCCTAATATGGTCTACAATACATCAAGTCAGCCATAAATAATGTTCATCTTTCTAGCAGAAACACATAGTTTGTGTCAATTAAAATCCCTTTCATTTTTGTAATCTCATAAAAATTACAGTTTTCACATAGCAGATGTCGCTACACAGTCACCTGCATCATACATGGTCAAAATTTTTGAATGGTTCTGTAATCCAGCTTTATACACATTTTAATATGGCATTTAAAAAAAGAAATCAGTAAGGACACATTCAGTTGATCAAAAGTGACACGACTGTTTAATAATGTGAAATTTCTACTTCACAAATGCTTTTCTTTCTGTTCTATCTATTCATCAAATAACCATAGCATTTTTTTTTATCAGTATTCAAAAAAATTAAGCAACACAACTGTTTTTAACTTTAGTAATAATAATTTTTCTTGAGATACAAATCAGCATATTAGATTTTTTTTTTTTTTTTTTTTTTTTTTTTTTTAACGAAGCATCATGTGACACTGAAGATGCTTAAAATTCAGCTTTGAAAGTGAAAAGGTGAAAGTGACATGTGAAGGCCATACTCAGAATTTGTACTCTGCATTTAACCCATCCAAGTTAGTGCACACACATTAGGAGTAGTGAACACACACACACACACACACACACACACACTGCAAACCTTGGACCACACTTCAAACGCACACACCTGGAGCAGTCATTTTGCTGTGGAGAAATTTTGGATTAGGTGCCTTATAGGTGCCGGTATTGAGAATAGAACCCGCGACATTTGGGTTACCAGTCTGACTCTCCATTATGCCACGAAAATAGAAAACAGTTATTTTTAGTTATTTTAGTTTTACAATTTCACAATATTACTGTTTGTACTGTATTTTTGATCAAACAAATGCAGCCTTGGTGAGCATAAGTGACTTGGTGACTTTTTTCTACCACAACAAAAAAAAACTTTTCAACAATAGTGTATTTTTTATTTATATTTTATATTAAATATTTTATTTAAAATATTTATTTATAAAGGCATATCTATTGTTATGGTAAGAAGAAAACTGTCACTCAAAATTATAAATAAAATTTCCTTTTATAATGACTTGGTTTGTCTTTTCAGTTTTCTTGTTGTGGGGGAGATGAGTACAAGGATTGGGAAGTAAACCAGTACCACTTCTGCAATGGCACGAGTCCTTTGGCCTGCGGCGTTCCCTACACCTGCTGCATCCGTCAAAGTGTTAGTCATTCCATGTTCTTCTTTCAGTCATGATACATTAATCATGCATATGTCGGCCCTGCACGCGGCAGTCTGACGAGAAAAGCTTGTGCCATAGGGTGCTTTCATGCTTTTGCTAGTAATCTTTTCTCTCTGAAGAGAATGTACTTTTTTTTTTGCAGTGGAATCAGTCTGACCCACAGGTCTGTGAGAATAGGGAGCTGATTTCTGAGCTTTTTTCTGGTCTTTTTTCTTTTTTCTTAGAGAGCTCTAGTATGCTGTTCTCCATGAGTCAGTGGAGAGTGCATCATGATGGAGAGGATTTAATTTGCCTGCCCTATGCTGCAGAGAGTCTCTTCTGCTGTTTATCAGAACCTCTCTCTCTCTCTCTCTCTATATATATATATATATATATATATATTTCTCTCTCTCTCTCTCTCTTTCAGAGTTAATTAATGTTGATTGGGCACTAATGCACTGCTCTCCTTTCGGTATGACAGCTTACTATGCAGTGAGCGAGCACAGGCCTTTTCAAGCTAATAAAACACCAACATAGTTTAGACTTCCTTAGAATATTCTTTACATCCTGTCTTATTTTTTCCATTCTCATTCTAGGTAAGTCAGATTTAGTTACCCTTATGTGAGAGAGAATTTTCAGATCATAAATCTGTGATATTTGAGTTCAGATGTTTCCCTTATCAAGTAAGTATAATCCTAATGGCACAAGAAATTTAGTGAATAAATGCCATTCAGTAAATAATCTATAGCTAGGTAGGTGCAGATGTTCAGGAATCTGCTGATTTCTGTAGCATTGTTTGCTGAGGTTTTGAGGGGGAAAAAATGTGTTGTGCTCTTATTGGTTGCTGAAAGCATGATCAGATTGTCCAAAATATTTATGGCATAATGGGCCTTAAAATTCTGTGTAAATCGGTGGAACTGACACTTTCTTCACCCTGTACCCTTAATAACGAATCCCCACTGGTGTTCTCCATCTATTTCAAACCACATCATATTATAATATGGCATCTGGTAGCTGTTGCCGACCTGTTTTGAGAAACAGAGGTGAAGTGTCACATGGTACGGAATGTATGAGAGGAATTGGACCGTGCTTTTGGGAGCAGGCAGGTTTACAGTCTATTTGTAATCTGATTAGATGGGCTGCCTGTTCATCAGTCCTATTACAGATTCCATCACTGCAGTGACCCTCTGCTTTAATGGTTACATCAACATGATTATAAGTGTGTGCTGAAATTCAATAATGAATATGAAATTCATTTTAAGGGTCAAAGGTCATCAGATCACAAAATATAAAGTTCGCCAATACTCTCCTGCACCAACAGCGTCAAGCTGACCAAATGCCACTTCTCACTTGAGAAGGTTTTCAAAAACATAATATGCAAGTTACTAAATAGTCCGTGTGTGTGTGTGTGTGTGTGTGTGTGTGTGTGTGTGTGTGTGTGTGTGTGTGTGTGTGTGTGTGTGTGTGTGTGTGTGTTTTTATCAGGTCGGAGAAGTTGTGAACACACTTTGTGGCTACAAAACTCTAAATCAGCAGGTAAGTGGAGCTCTCGGGGGTCTCATTTTAAGTCCACATTCTTGTAATGGCCTGCAACCAGCCATGACTGACTGATTTTAAATGACTATGTCATTTTACGTAATACTCACTCTGATGCATTTGGAGAGAATCATTTGCTGGACCTTGACGCATGAAATGATCTTTAAAGGAGAAGCCGGGACAGGAAAACAAAAACCTTCGATAGCCATTTCGAGTGCAACCATCTGTAATGGTTCCTTCATTCCTTTGTTTTTTCCATAGATGAAAACCAAGCAAATCATATCAGAGCCATTACGAGCACCACCTCCATTATGCCATTACGATGTACTTTAGTTGTGATATTTTAATTTAGTTTCTGTCATAGAATCAGAGCATTACCTGCCGCCTGTACCGAATTTGTTTCTTTCTCTCCTCTGTATGACAGCGTGAAGCTTTAGATGGCATAATTCATGTACGTGGCTGCATACATGCTGTGAACCTGTGGATGGGGGACAACATTGGCGCTACTATTGGAATTTGCTGTGCGGTTGGACTGCCACAGGTTTTGGAAACATCTTTCCCTTCTTATGCTTCCTGTTTATTACTTATCCTGAAATGTATGTATCTCTTTATTTATTATTATTTCTTGGAGAAGCTGGTGCCCAGTCATGCCAAATGGAATAGTTGAAAACTTAAATTTTCTAAAATAGCCAGCCTGCTGTCTCTCTCTCTTTATGTCTCATCTTGCCCCTCGCTGAGTGCTGAGATAAGGGAAGAGATCACATTAAATGCAGCCACATGTCTGTGCTGCCACGTTCCTCCAATTATGCATTAATCCTCAAATTAGAGCAGCAGGACAGACCATTTACACAAATATGATGGAATGTGACAAAACACCTATCTGGTAAATTACGGTATTGCTGCATTAGTGATCTGCTTCTATATGTGCACAGTAAACTGTATATTGTATAATATTTATTAATAAAAAATACCTAAAATGAAAGATATAAATTTATCACTCAAAAAAACAGCATTTCGAAATTCTTGAAATATAAATCTTTTGTAACATTATAAAAGTCTTTCACTTTTGATCAACTTAATGTGTCCTTGCTGAATAAAAATATTTTTTTTAACTAACTGATTACTAACTAATAATAATAAAAAATGTATGACTTTTTTTTGCATCCATCAACATGCAGTAATATACTGGGGGTGTCACCAACTATCTGTTTCATCTGCAGATAAGGTGTAAAGTAAACCATTTTTTGTAATCCATCTAAAAAAAACACTCTAATGTTTCTTTCAGCTTCTTGGTATTCTCCTGAGCTGTGTCTTCTGGAATCTTTTGGTGGAGATGAGTGAGTCTGAAGACATGGTGGACTTTAAATTCCTAAAACGTGGTTTTGAGTACAGCGAACTGGACCTCTCGGGTGCTGGATGGTGTATGTGTCTACCTCGTGACGAAGGGTACCTGCCTGTACCTGTAGCAGAGCCTGACACCTGGACTCCAGACCCCATCCCTTTTGACCTGGAACAAGATCAGCCCAAAATAGCCTTTACACATTCCCAACTAAAGAGCCAAGGATTTCTGTCAGGTGTGGGAATGGATGAAGTGGACAATCGAGCTTAAGAACCACAAAGAACAGAAAGTTGCATCTTAAGCATTTTGTTTTTTTAATTGTTATTTGTATATAAAAGGTTTGTCTTTGCACTGTGTTAAGATAAAGTGAGTTAGTTGCACTACATGTTGGTAAAAATGTTTTTAGGCATGAAAAAAGGAGAGGTTTGTATAAAACATTTGGTAATTGAGGGAATCAAGGTAGGAGATATCCACAGGCTTGTATTATCAGAATTTTAAGAACATATCACTTCAAATGCTGTTTACATAGTCTGTTATTTTTCACCATTTTAATTCATTCTGTGTCTTATGATATTAAGGGAGTTTGACTTGTTTTATTGGTCATATTGTCATTTAATAGTTTATAAGGTGCAAAAAAAGGATTCTATATTAATTAATTGTTGGCAATCAATTTTTGAAATGTTTTTAAAATAATTTATTATGTCCTTTAGGCCTATATTTCAATGAGTTCAAGGAAATTGGTAGTTTTGGAATTCGTCAAAGATTATGACTGTTGTGACTGGCAGATGAAGCTGGGCATTCATCTCTTGTCTATGCATTGTTTCTAAAATCTTTTATATTCATGTTTTTATATTACATTGTCATGAACCCAACTCTCAGAGAATAGAAGGAACATCGGAATATTATGGATCTTCTTTTTCTTTTAAAAGAGCATGTGGTTTGTGTAATGCCGACATTTTTCATTAACGGTAATAAGTACCAATGAAATTATTATTTATTAAAGTTTTGCCTTAAGTACATCAGAAGCTTTCTTACCTCAGGCTATTCTGGAATAGCCGCATTGATTTGCAGGTAATTTGTAGGTAGGATTTTTTAAGTTGTTGAAAAAGGGAGTCCTGGCATTGTTTAACACTACTTGAAGTTTAATTTGTCTTGAAGTAAGGCTAAAAATGAATGTTTAGTTGTCATAAACTGCTGTTTTAAATGTATGGCCCATGTTTTATCTTTCTTAGGTGTATAAAAAGATTGAAAAAAGTTTGGCTTGAAGGATGTCATAATTATGACTCTCTGCCATAAATGTACAAAAACCCACCTTTTAGCTGTAGGTAGTCATTCTGAAATACCTCACGATCGCACCCCTTTGCTAATAGACATTTTGATGATTTTGTTAAAGTTGATTGCTGCGCTCCAGCTAATGTAGCTCTGGTTTTGTAGTAACATTAATGTGATTTTCAATAAAATTTGCTTGAATTAACCTTTTAAATATGTCTGGCAGGTTATTTTGTTGAATAAAACACCAAAGTCTCTTGAGCCTGGTGTGATAAGTGGAGATGTGAAAACCTCTGGGCTTGTGGGTTCTTGGAAACTGGTCATCTGAACCCTCGAAAATCTAAGCCGTTTTCTAGTGTATAATCACACTTTCAAATTGTTCTGAAGAGAGAATGTTGCATAATGACGTCCCAGTGGTTCTGTAAGACTATTGTATTTTTCAAAGAACTCAAATTGCATTTAAGGACACTGATGGCAACTTGGCATGTTTTTATTGATTCTTCTTTCTGTGCATCATCATAACACATCAATTATATTAATTCCTGTGCAGAGCGATCTATCTTCAACCTCTCTCCCATTATTTCCTCAATGCTCACGCCACTTTCCCCTTCATGGTTATGGCCATCAAAAGGCAGCATGTGGAATAATTATAGCTGGTGTCTCAATGGGAGGAAATGAACTGCTGCACCGAAAATAACACTTCATGCGCTGAGCAGAGAACAAAATGCATCCACACTGGTGTAATTATGATAATAATAACAGTAATTAACAATTGTTGACTTGAGGGACGCTCAAGGATGGCTTCTCGGTTCTGTGAATGAGTGCATCAAAAGAGGATAAGGCAAGGAGATCAAGTGATGTACTACAGATGAATAGTCAATGCTCAAGAAGTTGTTCTTTCCCATTTGGGATCTGGAAAAGCTGATTGGGGTTGGGGTGAAAAGGGAGTAAAATCCAAACATTCAAGTTAAGAAGCTTAGAGAATCTGGTTATTTACTGAATTACTCTTAATAGTTAAACAGAGCCACTGCAGTGAGCCAGCAATAGAGATAGAGTGCCTTGCAAAAGTATCCATACCCCTTCATTTTGTCACATTTTTTTGTTGCTGCCTTAAAATGTTAAACCATTTTAAATTACTTTTTCCCCCCATCACATCATTTTTTTTACTCCATACACCATAATGACAAATCAAAAACAGATTTGAAAATTTATTAAAAAAGGAAAAACTGAAATAAGTACATCGCATAAGTATTTGTACCCTTAACTCGGGTACTTGGTTGAAGCACCTTTACAGCCTCAAGTCTTTTTGGGTATGATGCGACAAGCTTTGCATTTAGTCATTTTTCTGCCATTCTTCTCCTCAAGTCCTCTCAAGCTCAGTCAGGTTGGATGGAGACCGTCGGTGGACAGCCATTTTCAGCCATTTTCTCCAGAGATGTTCGATTGGGTTCAAGTTTGGGCTCTGGCTGGGCCAATCAATGACATTCACAGAGTTGTCCATAAGCCACTCTTGCATTGTTTTAGGGTCTGTGTGCTTAGGGTCATTGTCCTGTTGGAAGGTGAACCTTCTGCCCTCTCCGAGGTTCTGAATGCTCTGGACTAGGTTTTCATTAAGGCTAACTCTATATTTTGATGCGTTGAGCTTTCCTTCTACCCTGATGAGTCCCCAGTCCCTGCCGCTGAAAATCCCCAAGAGCATGATGCTGCTACCACAACTTTACATTGTGCAGGTGATGAAACGTGCCTGCTTCCCTGTTTGGAACTGAGGTACATCAGTCCATAGAATCTTGTTTCTCACAGTCTCAGAGAGTCCTTATAGCGGGTTTTTTTGTGCAAATTTCAAATGTTTTTTTTATTTTATATATGTCTTCACTGAGGACAGACTGAGTGGTGCCCAGATAAGTGGTGTGTTTGGGCATTTGCTCTGATATGCATTTTCAGCTGTTAGACCTTTTATTGAGAGGTGTGTGCCTTTTCAAATCATACCCATTCAATTGAATTTGCCACAGGTTAACTCCAGTCGAAGTGTAGTAACATCTCAAAAATGATCCAAGTGAAACTGGAATGCTCCTAAGCTAATTGAAAGGCCTGGTTTCACAAACAAGGCTGAGACTAAGCTGGGATTAGGCCTTAGTTCAAAGGATAATAAACGTGCCTTAGAAAAAACCTTACTGGTGTGAATCTTGATACAAAACAATGACACTGACATATTTTAAGATATGTCCGTGCAAGTTGCTTTTAGTTAAAACAGCTCAAACGTGCATTTTAGTCTGGGACTTAAGCCTTGTCTGTGAAACCGGGGGTGAGTGTCCCAGAAAAGGATACGAATACTTATGCAATGCAATATTTTCCGTTTTTTTATGTTTAATAAATTTGCAAAGTTATCACGAATCTGTTTTTTGCTTTGTCATTGTAATGTAGATTGATGTGGGGAAAAAAAGTAATTTAAAGGAGTTTAGCATAAGGCTGCAACAAAACAAAATGTGGAGTACGAATACGTTCCCAAGACACTGTATAAACAGAGGGAAAATATTGTTTTTCTCCTCCCTAAGATTTTAATGTGGTTCAAAATTGATGTAATTAGGCTTATTGGTGGATAGTTAGGAGTGACCTGAGTATCAACATTTTCCAACTCTGAAAGCGTAATACAATATTAAAAGGTAGAAGCTGTTTGTTTTTGTCGCGAGAGGGAATACGGCTCATTCCGGCTGCAGCTTAAAATGCTGTGTCTTTTCTTTTTATCTAAGTAATGAACCCAGCGCATCTATCTCTGAGGGGATTGTGAATCACAGCAAGCAAGGAGATAAGTGTAAGAAGTAAAAACTACAATAGGGATTTGGATGTTTGGGTTAAAGTCTGGATCTGAGGCCGGCGTCTTTGAAATAAGCAAAGAATAAAACATTAAAAAGCTGCAGGACATTCAGTCGCTTGTATTGTCGTCAGTGAAATGACTAGGGCTCGTGATGGGCCCAGTGTGGTTGCAATACAAATGCCCCTGTTGACTGCAGGTAATTTTGATCGTGTAACTGTCTTTAGAAACATTGCCCATTTCAAAGCTGCTATAGCTTAACTTGGCCATGGGCCGATGAACACTTTGAATAGGAGGGTATTTCTTTCTGTAAAAAGAGAAAAGAAAATGTTCTTCATAACACTAAAAGATCATTTTATCTGAATCTAATAAGCATTATTGTTTTAAGAATCTTTAACTGTCATCAGTGAGCATATTATAAAAGAAAACAGATTGAATATTTTGAAGCACAATTTATTTGTAATTAATAGCCTTACAGTAACCACACACACACAACATTCAAACATTTAGGGATGGAAAGATGTTTTTCTTTAATGTTTTTGAAAAAAGTATCTTATGCTCATCAAGGCAACATTTATTTGATCAAAATACAATACAGTAAAAACATTAATATTGAGAAATATTATTAAAATAGCTGTTCACTTCTTACTCTTCTATTTTAAAATATTTTTAAAATGTAATTTATTCTTATGGCAAAGCTGAATTTCAGCAGCCATTACTCCAGTCTTGAGCCATGATCCTTCAAAATTAAATCATTCGAATATGCTGATTTGGTGCTCAAGAAGCATGTATTATTATTGTTAGTGAAAAAACAAGGGTAACACTTTATTTTGATGGTCCCTTTTGAACATTCTACTAACTATAACTTTGCAACATGTCAACTAACTCTCATTAGAGTAGACTGTCAGCTTGATATCTGATAACTCTTTATTGTGATGGTCTCAGACCTTCTATTGACTATAAGTTTGCAGGTAGGCCTACATGCCAACTTATTATCTACTAATACTCTACTAACACTCTAATGAGAGTTAGTTGACATGTAGGTGCAAGGTTACTTATAGTCAACAAAATGTGTTAAAGGGACCATCAAAATAAAGTGAAACCAAAAAATGTTGTGCTCCTTAATATTTTTGTGGAAACCATAATATTCATTTTTTAGGGGTCTTTGATGAATAGGTTTACTGTAAGGACATTAATTATAAAGCAAAAACTAAAACAAAAAAAACATCTATTGACTATCCTGCAACAGCTGCTGTCACCACAAGAAGAACTTTTAATGTGCCCCTGAGTAAAAAATGTGCAAAAAAGAGGGTATTATTAAACTAAAAGGGGTGGTATAATGCCCCTTTTTACAAGATTTAAAATACGTCTCTGATGTCCCCAGATTGTGTTTGAAGTTTTAGCTCAAAATACCCCACAGATAATTTTTTATAGCATTGTTTAATTGTATCTCTTTTTGTGGGTGCAAAATGCGTCGTTTTGTGTTTCCCTTTAAATGCAAATGAGCTGCTGCTCCCAGCACTGAGGGCTTCAAGAGGTCGTGTGTTAGCAACTAGCAGATATGCATTAAAATGTCAGAAACCTGCCTTTTATGTTCAAAAAACTTAATCGACACATTATCTTTGGACAATGATGGAGAGACTCAAGAAGAAGTGACAACATGTAGAATGCAACAGGACGTGAATGGTTAGTTGATGAATTTATGTAACATTAGCTGATTTGAAGTTAAAGGTGCTGTTGTTGAACATCTGGTAAAATGAGGAAGGAGTGACCCGGAACGTCGTAATCCAGGTGTGTTTTGTTTTATTTAAAGATCTTTTTAATTTATCGACGTGATTGTCGGCAATTCATGTGTACCCAGATAGCAAAAAATATCGGCACGGCTTCTTTTTGCCGCCGGCCCCAAACTGTCGGCTATAGTGCGCCCCGCTGGCGGAGATGAAACGTTTGCCGCCGAATACGTCACTCCCATTTCTTGCGAGATGCCGCCGGCGAACAGCCGCCGGGCCGCCGACTTCATTCTCTCTGGCGGTTGCCGCCGTCTAAATGAACCGCGGCCGGCTGGCGGCAAGCCGCATTGAAATCGACCAGCCATGTCATTGGCATGAGTGGAACTGACAGCATTTTAACTTTCACATTTAAAGCGATTATAATTATTATGTGAATTATATCAAATTTTGTTATTGTTGTTGCTCCAAAGTCATTAGGGTTTATAACAGATTTGACTCAGTCTGATTCCATGATAAGGTTTAGGAAAATACATTTAAATTACGTTGAAACTCTGAAGCGATTCAGTGATAGGCCTATGTAAAATATATAGAATTATTTTATTCACTTAAGGTGACAATTCTTTACATTTCTTTGATTTATGCACAATTGAGATGCACAAATAGTCCAAAAAGAAT